AATAGCTCTGAATTATTATGGTCTTGATTTATGAACTCGGCCCATGCCTTTTCCTCTACTATTTCCCGCTAAAATGGCGACATTTCCGCCACAGTCGGTGCTAAAAGTCTACTGGCCTTTCCACCTTTGGGCGTTGTAAATTTTTATATTTATTTTTATTTTTCCTCTCGGTCGCCACAAATCAAAGCCGCGTTTTATGGAAAATAGTTGGCAGTACACACAAAGGCACACACGCACTTGGCCAAATGATTTACGAAGGCGTTGAAAAGGCGTTAGAAGAGGAAGGTACCAGTTTTTTGGTTCGTTTCGGTTTTTTTCCTTATTTTTTTTTTATCGCACATCGGTAAAGTATTAAATTCGTGGCCCCAAAATAGCCGCAAATTTATTATCCCAACGAGCGTACAGTGAGAAAAAAAGCATTAAAACAGGCGCACGGTAAAAGGGGGAGGGCGTTGTGGTCAGTCTCGTGTATAACAAAAAGTAAAAACCCAGAGAGTCATAAAAATAAAAAATAGCCCAAGTAAATGTCAAATAAACTTTAACGGTTTTACTTTTTTTCCTTCGGTTCTTCGCTTTTTTATTTTTATTTTTGTTCTTTTTTTTTGTTTTTCTACGAGAAACAGATTGGACCACAGGCAGCCGCAGCAGCCAAAGCCATAAACTTTTCGAGCTGCAAGGCCCCGAACCAAAAAAAATATAGTACATATAAATACTTATATAGCGGCGTATAAATATATATGCACAGAAAAAAATTTATATGAAATAGGGTAATTTCGACCTTATTTCATATTAATAAAAAGACGATATGATTTATGTAAAATGTATGATTCAAACATATCAGCTTGATATGTAATCATTTTATAAAAGTTATATATAAGTTATACGAAATTTCGTATTTTATGAACAAATATTGTAAATATCAAAATTATATCAATTATTATTTTAATTATTTTATATATAACTCTTATAGGTACTCCTTTATTTTCTGTGCATAGATACATATAGAAGCCATGTAACCAAACTGACTGAACAAAAACTGCCACCGCTGCAAAAACTGAAACTGCAAATAAAAATAAAAATAAAATAAAAGCTCCTAGAGAAAGAAGAAGTAGCAACCGCAAGGCTGTTGGCGAATCCCAGGGGGGGCGGCCAGAGGGGGCGTGGCAAGGGGCCAGGGGCGTAGCTGAGGCCAGCGATTTACCCGGGGGCCCATCCTGAATAAGAGTACTATATTACGTGACCAGCCGGCAAAATGACAACCGTAAATCTGCGGTATATTTCATGTGGTTGAACGTTGGACTTAAAGGTTTACCCATTACTTTGATACAGCCAGGGGTTTACCAGCCAATCAGATGGTTAAGTTGGAAATATAACTAAAATATAAACTATTGTCTCTTGAAGTATCAAAAGTTATTACAGGCATATTTTCCATCTCAGATCTAAGTAAAATTCCCATATTAATAATTACTAATACGCCACGTTGCCACCCTGTAAGAAGGCCGACTTTCGGCCAACTTTAATGTCGAATTGGCTTTAAAAAAGAAGAGAGGCCAACGACAACAGCTGCTTATCGCTGACCAAAAAAAAGAAACAAAAGCAAAAATAACTAAAAGATAAAAGGAAGAAGATGAACTTTAGGAACTTTTGGCCATATGCGTTTGACCCTTTTGGCCAGTAAAGAGAAACAACAAAGCCAGAAAAAAGTAGGCGTAAGAAAGCAACAAAAGCGGCAACAACCACAAAAGCAAACAGGACAATAAAGCAGGAGGCATAAAATTACGAAGGAGGCGCAGGAGGATGTGTGTGGGTTCGGGTTCATAAAAATTTTGTTTTCGGCCGTCATAAAAATAACAACAGAATCCCTCAAAAACAACAGGCCAAGTCGGAGTTAAGGTCGTTTAAGGGTCATTAAGTACGCAACTCACACATGCAATATATGTCTGTGTATACTTATATGTATGTGTGTCCTTATATATGTACAAGAAAAGGACTCCCACATGTTTATGCTGAAGTGCCGTAAGTCATTTGAAGTGTTGATGATAACTCACAAAGTTTAAGGCTTAAAGGAAAGCGAAGAGAGAAGCCGAAAAGTTGGCTAATTCAATTTTAACTTCAACTTTGCATTTCAAAATTTAAAATAATTTTACAAGCTAAATTGAAGGGGAGGTTCCAGTAATTAATACTTTAAAATTTGTAAAGTGTGATTATTGCGAGTTGTATAACAAATTCCTTAAAAATAGTTTAATTAAATTTAAATCTGATTATTTTCTTCAATTTAAATTATCACAAATATTTGTAGTGCACTTGAAATTATTAAACTTAAAACAACCATATTAACCTTGGGACTTTGAACACTTGATAATTAGTTCCACTCGCCCCGTTGGTTTTTTTTTTTCAGCACTTTATGGAACCCATTTTGTGTTCTTTGGCTACCAAGTTTTATCTCAAAACTTTTACTCCATTGCACTTTGTGTTCCCCGCTTTCTTGGGTCTTAGTTTTCAGTTTTTATATTTTTTATTTGTAGTTTGATTTATTACCTCAGTTACGCCGCCGCTGTCCGTCCATTCATTGTTGTTGTTTATCGCACAGCAAACAGTTTAATTTATATGACAAGCCATAAATTGACGAGTCGAGAGCGACGACAAAAAAAAACAACAAAAAAAATCACACGTTTCCTTTTAAAAATGTTGATAGTTTTTGCATGGTTTTTAGTATTTTTCCTTTTGTTTTCCTTTGACAAAGAGGCGTATACGTGATGTGTTGACACTTTCTTTTTTTCTTTGGCTGCATCAATTTTGTGGGGCTCGTCTTGTGTGGTGGCTAAGTGAAAAATCCGTTGCACGTAATTAACGCAATTAAAATCAAAACATTAATGACCTGCGCTCCTTTTGGACCGCTGTCGCTGCCGACTGCGACGCGGCAGCGCAGTCGCCGTCGCTGCATCGATAAAAGCAGCAGACGGCGCAGCACTTGGACTTTTCCCCCTCAGAATTTTTCTGTAATTTTTCAGCGTTTTGTATTTCTGGTTCAAAAAGGTTTTCCCTCATTTTTTTCTCGAGCAATTTAGGCGAAAATAAATAATAATTATTCTTGAATTATTGGCTGGGAAGTTCGGAGGCAAGATATTATTAATGGATGCAAAGTCCCAAAGAGAGAGTCTAAAAAGCGGGTGAACATTTTTGCCTACTTTTTGGGGCTCGCAGCCATTTTGTTCTGCCTGCGTCGACGGCGGCAGCGACGTCACTTAGCCATCTTGCATCTCGCTCTCTCTCGTCCTCTGCAAATGCGCAGCTGCGAGAGAGAAGCGAGTCTTCTCTCTCTCGTTCATCGCCGCCGCTCTCTTTGTCACCCTCTCTCTCCTGCTCGCAACTTTGCTCTTTCCCTCTCTCTCTTTCCGGGGAAAGGGAGAGAAAATGGCAGCGTTGAAATATTTAACGCCGCTAAGTATGCTACAAAAATAATTTTGCCAGCAAGCGAAAAAAAATGCTAAGCACATATTGTTGTTTTCTTTCGGTGGCTAAAAAAAAGTATAGGGAACATAAAAAAAGGTCTTGAAAAGAAGAGGAAAATTGCGGAAAAAATAAGCTAACTTTTCAAGGAGTTTGAAATTAATTTACCAAAAATATTAATACAATAAAAATTGAAGGGAAATTTCTGCAAATTTAAACTAAAGAATTCAACATAAAATTTCACCTTAAAGCCATAATTGCCGCTTTTGGCCAGTGAAAACTTGGCGAACGTCAAATAATTATCCAACCAACTTTAAAGCTTAACCCATGCTCGCACTCGCTCAAGCACACACACACACGCACATCCTTTAAAACTTTGTTCGTCGAGTGAAAAGGGTAAACAATGGCGAAGAGGCAGGGGCGAAGGCGAGTTTTGCAGCTGCTTTTGGCTTTAATGCGTTTTCAGTTTTTCCCAGCTGCCTTTCCGTTTTCCCCGCCTTTTTGTTGAATTTTTCGGCCACGAAAGGAATGCGAAAATTATGGCACAAAAAAGGCTTTAATGGACATGTATTTCTTACTACAAGAATGGTATTTTTAAATTAGCGGAGAATGCAGGGATAAGTGAAAAGAAAATTAGAAAAAATATTTAAAAGATACCGTTCTAAAAGTTATTAAAATAATTTCATTATAAATCTTAAAATATTGGATTATATTTTAATTTTAATTTCCCAATGCAACTTCCACCCTCCAGTTTTCCACTCTAATTCCCTTGTATCATGTGTACTCACTTCCTATTATCTTATGCATGACTTTGTTTTATTTATGCGATTTGTGTCAATATTTGCCAAGCATTTAGCCCATGACTTTTGCACGGCCTTCTTGGTGCCGCAAAAATGCAGAAAATTTATATATATTTTCCGGGATTACCAAAGACAACACAGTATGCGCAGTTAAAAAAAAAGATAATATATAATAAAAACGAAGCAAAATGCTGCGCCCGAAAAATCAACAATCAACAACAGCAACAACAGTATCAACAGAAGGCCAAAAACAATGCAACATTTTCTTTTATTCCCACGGTAATTTGAATGGCAAATATTTCTATGGCAAACGATAAACAATTAGTGCAAACAAATAGACAAACTGCGTCAGAAATTAAAATATTTTTGGGCAGAAAACGAAACGAAACGAGACGCGTGGCACAAATTGCGCCTAAATATACCCAAAAGCGTTCCACGTGTCGTATGCGTAATTTTGTATCTATTGCTGATGGAATTGCAGATACGTGAGAGGCTTTAGACCCTAAACTCGAGAGGGGAGAGGGATGTGGGGTTAGGCAGACTCTCATTAGCAAAGATGAGCCCCAATTGGGATGTCCGGAAAATTTATGGAGCCCTGATTAGTGGAACAAAGTAGTGGGGCAACTAAATGTATCCTTTGTATCGAATTTTTAGCTTTCACATTAGAAAAAAAATTTAATAAATTACTAATAAATATTTTTATATCTCTCCAAGCTTTTACTATTATAATTTTTTGTTTCGCAGACTTACCGCTCAGCGAATTGTGGCCGCAGGATGGCGCCTTGCCCAGCAGATAGTCGTCCTTGCAGATGAACTTATTGTCGTCCAGCACGTAGAGCTGCTCACCTGTGCTCAGTTGCTTGCGGCAGATGCAGCAGGTGAAGCAGTTCAGGTGGAAGACCTTGTCCCTGGGCTTTCGCACCAGATCCGACGGCGCGATACCCTGGCCACAGCCACTGCACTTGGTGCCGTAACGTCTGTGGGTAAAAATGGTAAATAAATAAATAAACAATTTAAGGGAATACATTTTTAATGTAACCTTTACTTGTAATATAAAAAAATGGCCAATGGTTTTTAAGAAAAACTAAGTGACCATTAATAGTTATTTAAATATTTTTACAAAAATTCCAGAATTTCTGTTAGTTACTGTAGTTATTTTCAAAGTTTATGCGAAACCTTCCTAGACTCATTTAAGATTGAGGTTTGATGGCTCATAGCTTATAGTTCAGAATGGCCCTTCCATTGTGCCTCTCGGAAGCCTTTCAATCCTGATCTCGGATTCCATTTCCCCACTCGAACCGAACCCTTCCTTCTCCCTTATGGGATGGCTTTTGTCTGCCGCCGTCACTTGTTAACCTTTTCCAACTGGCGCTGATTGATAGGACGACACCTAGTCGACTCTTCAGCCTTTCAGCAAATCAAGGAAGTGCACGGGGCCACAGGATTTGATTTCATTTTGATTTGTTCAGGTATTTTGCATGTTAATTGCTTTCGCCTGCCATTCTCGAGATTTTTTCTCCATTTCCTCGAGTTCTTTTCAATTAGCCCAGCCAATCCAGCTGACGGAGTGAAATCAAATGGAACGCAAAAGTCGCGATTGCCAACTTGACTTAATTGCTTCGGTTTTGATTTGTCCCCCCGTCGTCTTTGTTTCTATTTCTGTTTCTGGCTTTGGGACTGAAGGCTCAGCCGATTCAGGTGGGATTCATCGTGGAATTAATCGAATTGTGCGATTTATAGGATATTTTATTTAAAAATAAAGCCCACGAATCTCTAAGTAAGATGATGCAACACAAATGAAAGTTTTACCAACACCATTTACATATTTATTGGGACATTTATTTTTCAGATTTATATAATGAATCTCAAGAATTCGCGTTTACTAGGACTTTTATTATTCTGATGTATGCCATGAATCTCAAGAATTCGCGTTTATTATCTAGCTTTCCTTTTCCTCTTCTCCTATTCAAAACTCACCTGAAGAAATCGTTGCGACAGTAGAGCTTCGATTCGCGGCTGAAGCATTTGTCGGTGAGCGGTTGGAGGCATTCACAGCAGCGGACGCAGGAGGCGTGCCAGGCGCGTTCCAGGACATTCAGCAGGAACTTGTCCAGGATGGGCTTGTTGCATCCGGCGCAGGGATCGCCAACGCCCACGGGCGGTTCGCTGCGACCTAAAGAAGAGTAAGGGAAATGTTAAAGAATCTTCATGGGAAAACATTAAACATTAAATTAATATATATTTAAAATTATTATTATTTATATATTTCCTCAACATTTTATTTATTTCCCAAAACATATTTATTCTACCTCCAACAAGTACTTATTTATTTTGCACATATTTTCCGTGACTTATCATAAGCTCGAGCAATTAGTTGCCTGACCTCTAGTGACCTTTTAAGTGTGAAGGAGGAAAAGGAAAAGCGGCGGTCAGTTCAAGTGGAAAACGGGAAGTGGGAAGTGGGAGAGCGGGAAGTGAGAGCACTCAACTGTGCGTCGGAAAATCCTTCGAGGCGCAAATTAGCACCTCGCTCTGCTTGCCTCATTAAGTTTGCACATGTGTGAGGGGGCACACACACACACGCACACACATACACACACCTGCACCTGTATGTCCACCTGTAAATGAGCAATTCCCAGGTGCGTGGCCTTGGACGGATGCAAACATTTGAGGATTTACAATTTGCACTTTGCATTTAGCACTTAGATAAATTCGGTAAATGCCCGCCAGGTGGGGGTTTTTCCAACTACTTCCCTTTTTTCAACACTTTTCATCGCAGTTTACCCATAGTAAAAATTTTATTATATTTTTAAAGATCTATAAATCTATTTGGTATTACAGTAAATATTTTACATTTTTCAATATTCAAAGCATAAATAAATTTTAAAATTTTGATAATTGAAACATTTAAGTCCCCTAAATAGTAAGCTAATAATATTAATTTGCTGTACACAAATCCCACATGGGATCTTCCACCTTGTTAGTTCTGCCACAAATGGGCGGTCTTGGGGGCGTGGCGCATGCATATTGATCTATATATATGCGAATATATATATTTATAACCATATAATATGCGATATATACGAAATATGTGTGTGAATCGAGGGAAGTGCAACCGAATAATGATAGAGGCCAAGCTAAAATGGAGCCCCGAGGCCTGAGAAATTCGAGTCGGAAAAGGAGTGGAATGAGTGGAAAAAGGAGAAGGAGGAGGAGCAGGAGGAGTATCGGATAAAGGAGGAGATGCTCGCGAACAAGGAGCAGAAAAAGCTGCCTCCTTTCGCAGTCAATCAGTCAATGGAGTTGCAAAGGGCTGAAATATCTTTTGAAAAAATAATTCCCAAAGATGTGGAAAAAGCGTTTGTCTTCGTTTGTGGAATATATTTTTGCAGGTGGGGCCGTTGGGGGCGTGACCAGGTACAAAATATATACAAAACACAAGGGGAAGGAACTCGAAAAAACCAAAATAAAAAATAAAAAACATTTTTTGGAGGCTGCCAAAGGAGCGAAGGAGAGTCCAAATAAAAAGCCAACTTGTGTGTGAAAATGTTGTTTTCATTCAAAAAGTTTACGAAGAACGCGGCCAGAGGAGGGGGAGGTGAGAAAAAGAGGAAGAGGAAGGATGGCAACATGAATGGCGAAAGGAAGTGGGAGGGATGGCAGCCAGAAAGCCAGGAGATGGGCCAATACGATAGCTGCGAAAGAGTGGGAAGTGGGAAGCAAAAAGAAAAAGTTTATCTTGAAATATAATAATTTTACAAAATTATTTGCTTTTTGAAAAGTTTAAGAACTAAATTTAAGACTTAAAACTATTAAAAAATATTATAAAATAAAATCACTTCCTTAAACATTAAATTCTCCTCATGAAACTTGGTGAAAAAGGACAGCGAGAAGACAAATTGAGGTGGATTTTTCGTTATTGTTGGGATCCAACTGCCATATCATATATATCATATTCCTCCAGCCTCCCCAAAAGTTCCCACCTCCTCCCACAGTGACCCACATTAATAAAGCTTAGGGAGCTGATTCTTCTTCGTTCTTCGCTCTTCTACCCCCCCGCCGTTACTCATACGCCCCGTGCAACCGACAGTAGCCACTGCCTCGGGCGAACTGATAAAGCCCGGGCCCAAATAAATGAATGAAACCCCTGGATGGATGGATGAGATGGGAAAATACGGACCAGGCATGCTTGGCCATTATAAATGAGCAACTGACACACTGATTGATTGACGAATTGACTCATTTTCGCTAACAGAAAGCCCAAAAAAAAGAAGAAGAACAGTGAAGAATTATAACGAACATCCTACCATCCTACAAAAGCAACAGCAAAGCATAAGCAAAGCACAAGCAAAAGCAGCAGCAACATTATCGCAAGTGGCAAGTTGCAAGTTTCAAGTCCAGACCTTGCCGCATATGTCAAAATTGACGGATGTTATCAATCATTTCATGCCGCTGCAGACAATTTTTAATGAAGGTTATAGACGTTTATAGACGGAACGAAATGGGCGGGACGAGGAAAAGGAGGAGAAGAAGAGAAGAAAAGAAGGAGAAGAGCAGAAGAGGATGAAGAAAAGCACGGTGAAGCGATTGTCTTCAGGTTCGAGTTCGAGGCTCAATGAACTATACGAAAAGCGTTGCAAAACCTGGGTTAAATGTTGTTCGTGTTGCTGCTGTGCATGTTGCTGTTGTTGCTGTTGCTGTTGTTGCTGTTGTCGTTGTTCCCGATTGCTGATTACCGACGATGCCGATGATGTCGCTTTTTATGCTGCCTGTGGAGCTATTCTACTAATTGTTAACTGTATAGTTGGTGAGGTTTTTTTAGGGAGTTTATTCCTAGGTTTTTTTTATAAAACCTGTGCAAAGAGAAAAATCGAAACAAAAATTGTGTTTCCATAAAACTGTTGTCTATTTTTATAAGTCTTATATTTAAAGCATTGTAGCATTTATAAATTGTTGTTTAATTTAAATATATTTGTATTACAACTTCTAAATATTGTACAAAAAAAAACTGGCTAGTTCTAAACAAGTTTTTATTAATTATTAATGAATAAAGACCTTAAGAAATGTCTTCATGAAAAATATTGACAATTAGATAAAGGAAAAATACGTATTTTAATAGTTTTATGATCACAACGAGAGTTGCAATTAATCTGTCATTTAGCTTCGGTTAACTATCGGTTAATTTCGGTAAAAAAAAGATACATTTATCTTTACAACTCTGTGTCTCGGTAATTCGTTGTCTTTTGGTTGTTAAGCCGAACCTGAACCTATCAGCAATTTCGGAGGCTGCTGTCTTCTTGCCAGCAATTTTTCGGCACTTTTATTCAGGCTCTTCTTCCTTAATTTTTTCATACATATACTTTTTTTCGCTTTTCGGCCGTCTGGTCTGTCAGTTATGTCCGGCACCTTGGCGGGCTCTCTGGACTTTATTTTATTTTTCGTGCCTTCTGGCGCGTTTTTAAAAAGCGACAAATTGTTGTTTGCAGACGCCGACAACGTTGTTGTTTCTGCTGTTGTTGTTGTTGTTGTTGTTGCCGCTTAAGTGTCGCAATTTAAATATTGTTGAGTGCACTTTTGGCTACCGTTGGCCATTTATTTTGCGCTGAAATTTATGTAACGATGTGAAAAATTGCCCGCTACTGGAAAGAAGCGAAAAGCGAAATGTCTCGGCTCTAGGCGCTCTGCTCACTCTCTTTTTTGGGGATTTTCAGTCTTTCGCTTGACTCTTCAGGCGGAGAAATAAGTTTCGTTTTCATAGGGAAAAACAGCGAAATCGTATCATAATTAATATATCAAATTTTACATATTCATTTTTATAAAGTTTTTGAATTTTTAGATATTTTTGTTTAAGACTATCAAGTATTTCTAACATCCTTATAAGAAATATCTTATTTAGGGATATTTATTAATAGTAAATTATTTTTTTAATCTACTATATTTTTTTTTTTTAAGTTTTGATAGGTTCTAAAATTGGTTTTAAATTTTTTCCGCCTGTGCGGATCTGTGGATCTGTGTAGCAGCAGCCATTGACCGCAGGGCAAGAAAAGACTGAGAGAAAAGTGCAAAGTTGCTGCCGAAGCACGTATAAAGCATTTTGCACAACATTTTCCGCGCTCGCACACACACAAATACACACATATATATATATTATATAGCTACATGGCTATATAATTGTGTTCCAGCTTCTCCGCAATCCACAGACTAACTGCATTTATAATGCAGCAGCAGCAGCAGCTTCTTCATGGCTCGCTGGGCCGTTCCCGGCAACACCCAAAAGACCAGCCCCGAAAAAATACAGAAAGGAAGAGAAATATCAGGATGGGGCTGGGGAAAAATAACAAATGAACTGAACTCGGTTCCCCAGCTGCCGGTTGATGTTGCAGCTCGACCACAGAAAAGGGTACAGTGAAGCCACGCTAGTCATATTTGCACCCAGGGATGTTTCTAAAAAATCGATATGTTCCATATTTTTACAATATTGTTTTGAAAATATCGATGCTTTCAAGGTAAAACACATAGTAAGCTCTATTTTTCAAGCTATTAAATTTCCCTAATTTATATATATTTACCCCTTTTCAACCTCAAACTTTCTGCTTTATCACAAACTTTTAACCAGGAATCCCTACTTCTGGCAATTATTTAACCCACTGTGCACAATGGCCACCACAGAAGCAGCCACACAACAAACTTTTGACCATTGTCGTCTGCGCCACAAACTGTGAAAAATTCGTTCGACATCAACGCAGAGTTAAAAAAAAAAAAAACAGAAAAAAATAAAATAAAATAAAATGAGGAAAAAAACACAGGGGCAGAGCAAAAAAAATGGGAAATAATAAAAATCAGCTTCAACTTTTTGCCAAAGCACTTGCTGCGCCATGTTGGTTACGCCCCCTGCCCCGCCCACCGCCCCTCGTCCGCCCCCCGACCCAGCTAAAAACGTGACTAAAATGTTAAAGCCACGGGAAAGAAAAGAAAATCCAAACCAGCAGCAGCAGCAACCGTCGCTCAATCGCAATCATTTTTTTCCAGCTGCTGTTTCTTCTTCAAGCCATGTTTTTCTCCACTTTTTTCCTTTTTTTACTTATTTTGCACTGGCAAATCTTATGCAAAAATCCAAATGGAAATGCAGCAGCCAAAGAAGGAAAAGCCAAACAAATGGCTGAAGTGAAATGG